ACATTGAACTATCCGGTACATTAGGCCTATGTCTGCCTCTATGCACGCCACTGTAATTAATGCGCATCATAGGGTCCTTAAAAACACCTAAATATTAATGTATAAAGATAAATATATAGTATGTAAGCAATTAAGATAAATCTAGTGATGACAGCATTCAGCGGATTCTCAACTTGCCCACAAACCTGTTTAATATTAAAAACTAAAACTCAGAATAATAGTGATAATCAGCATTAAGATATAAAACGTAGGTACTTACAGTATGTGACGGGTACTAAGAATGATCCAGAACCAAAATGATTTGTTATATGCCACCGAAATATTCCACTTAATCTTTGTGCAATAATATTAGCATTTAAAAATTCTGCAAATAGATGCGACTTTGGCGCTAGCGTAACATAGCCTATTTGCTAGGGGCCTAAAACACCTAAATAAACAGATTTGTTTTCAAGGTCACGACAAGATGTTTAAACAGAATAGTTTAGAGCTAGTTAATGCAAATTCACGCCTCTAATGCAATTATTTTAAACTGAAATCCATGACGATTTTAAAATCGTATTTTAAAGCTATGTGCCCGGAAGCGGAGTAGCATATAAAAAGATGTAAAGTTTGTGCGCTGCAACGCTACAATGGCATCTCTATAACTGGGTGTTGGGCACATTTACGATATTTACAAGGAATGTTGCCTGCAGTTATACGTTGGGAAATACACTATTTTCAGGAATGCGTTTTAACCGCATTTATCTAGGCTACCTAAAATCTAAATAAGGTTTCGCCAAAATAGTCATATGACAGCTGAAACTTCAGTGTGTTTTAACATTATATTTTAGATAAACATGATTTTAGTTGCACTAGCAACTGTAAAATTATGGATAATTTAGGTTTTTAAAAAGTGAAATTACATCGTGAAACATGTATAAACCAAAAGGAAGAAGATAATCTCGTTTTCTTTCTTGATTCGAAAGAGACCTCAAAAAATGATTCATTGCAAAAAAAAATTAGGCGAACTTTAACCTCAAATATTAAGCAGGTGATCTAGTTTGTACATCTGCCGTTTATTTTCAAATCGAACAAACGACTGCTTTAAATAGGAGTCATTTAAAAGATATTTTTAGAACCATTTCAAAAATCTTAAGTCATTGTCTTTCAAGATTAAATATGAAACATTTTCCAAGCTTGAAAAATAAAACATTTTACGTTTTAAATGCCTTTTCAAAAATTGCTCATTATACATTGCATAGATTTGCATATAATCACACCAGCCGCATTTGATAACGGTCTACAATATGTAATTCTTGTTATTATGTTTTTTCATGTGCAAATTCGTTTTTTCACAAATGTGTTGATCATATGAGCTAATTCTAGCCTATCGTTTTAGCACAGCGAAAAGCGCATTACTTTTGTTCCCATAATGTTTTTAAACGTTTCTTGAGTTAAAATAAGTTACGGGGCGACTAAAGGAATATTTCAATTTGTGAAACAGGAAATCATGATATTTCTTATAGCCTAAATAGAATTTCAGATTTGTAAAATTTATTAACACAGCGTTGGTAAGGTGCTAAATACAATTTTATTTTCTTAGACATTGTTAAATCGTCGATGTCTTGGTCTAAAATATAAAGAAAATGGGCTACGTATGCCGTTGTTAGGTCTCAATATAAATATAGGCCTTAATTCAAACCAGCCGCCCCATCATCCGTCCTTAAATTTATGTGTTTTGATAATAACGACAACCACAAAATTGAGAATCCACGGAATAACCTGAAATACCACGACAACCAGGAAAAAAAGTAACTTTTGCCATCAATTCTATTAATATTTGTGGTGTTGGTTACGGTGTTCGAACGGATTCGAAGATACTGTGTGTAGGCTATATACTCCTATTTTTTATTGAACAATTAATTTACAGAGTAACTGTAGATCTATTAATGATGTTTGAATGCATGCGCGAGTTGGATCAAATTTAAATAGGGTATACCTAAAAACTTAACATAACCTGAAATTTCTCGAAACTGCCTATCCGACAAAATGTCTCCTGTTTCAATGCTGCGGTTTACATTCAAACGTCATGAAGAACTCCTAGCAGAGACTGCATGCACCTTTCACCAGTGGATACAAAAAAATATAATTAAATGAGCAAACGATTTTGGAGGATTAAGTGATTACTGACGCAAATGAACACAACCCCCGCGCTACCTAAAATAATGTTGCAATACACAGGTAGTACATCCTAAAACAGGCAGACACTGTGCACAGAATGATAATGTGATTTTTCTGGAAAAAAATGTAATGGACGCCAGATAACGATGTTATTCCAGTTTTCTATGCTGAATGCTTAAAATAAAGAACTAAAAAAATTCTGCTGTTGACAGATGGGTTTGGGAAGTCTTGCATAGATGTCAAGGTCAATGCCCCATGCCCACCCCCCCTTAGACAAATAAACCACTTTCCCTCCTTGCCCCCATGGTGGGGCCAACCCCACTGCCTATCGTTCATGAGCTCTCTTTCAGCTGGTGATGAAGACACGGAAGGGACGCACACATGCACATGCACACGCGTGTGCACGTTCACACGCACGCACATACACACATACAGGCGTACGTCGGTCAGCCTGCTCCCCTACAACCCTGATCTGTCACACTCATCGCAGTCCCCTGGAACACTCGGGACAGAGATGAGCTCCAGACCACCAGCCTGGGGACCATCCGACGCCAGTGCTATAGCAGAGACAGGACATTGCTTGCTACTGCAGCCCTCTGACAGACGTGGGGCAGTAGAGAGCACAGGGGTCAAAGATGACGACCTGTCACCAAATGGACACTTCAAGTGCTTCACTAAAAATACCCAGCCGGAAGTGCATGATACTGCAAGACGTTTTATGAAAGTGGAAAATAATAATAATAATAATAATGTGGATTGGCATTCCCTCCAACCTGTCCTTGCCTTGTCCTCCGTCTTTCCTGGGATAGCCTCCCCTGCAGTGAAGCTGTCCTGGCTATACCGATGGATGATGGATGGAATTTGTGGAAATTATAACAATAAAAACAATTAAAAATGCCAAAATGAAAACTGCTCTGCATACCAGGGCTGAACCCAGTGAAGGTAGAACATGAAATAATATTATTTTGTGTCTGATGTGTAAGAGCACATGACACCGGGGGCAGACTTGGGCTTCATCGGTGGTCCAAGGCCGCTCTTGTCCCCCTCCCCCAACATTCACAAGACAAAAAAAAAAAAACAATAAATGTTACAATGAAGAGAAATGTTTCACTGGGACCATGGAAAATAAGAAATCTTGCCTGGAAGGTAGAGCACCCAGAAAGGGGATGTGATGCTTCTGGACTGGATGTCACTTTGGTGGCCTGTTCAGGTTTAAACAAAAATGTAATACAGATACTCCCCCCTCCCTTTCCCCCCCTCCCAAAAAAAAAAAAAACAATCAGTCAGCTCCACACATACCTGTTATTAACATTTCCAGTGTTTCCTTCAATCCATTGGCTGGGACAATTACCTGCAAGCAAATCATCATTTCACCTGCTCTCCCTCCACAAAATGAGTCAAACACATTTTTGAGTGCATTACATTATTATGATATACAGTGAACAAGTCAATTTATTTCAAAATTTTATTTCAGATTCATTACATTAAATCCAAATAGATTTTCTAGGCTAGGACAAGGAAAATAGATATAAATTGTTATTTGGCTTTTGCAATCCGGTAACTTTTTCGTACACAGTAGTGTTTTTTCCCTGCACTTTCTATGTTATACATTTATCAGTATTGGTTATTACTGAATAGGCCTTTTTCTGTTAGTTGAACGTCCTGCATTAGCTGCAGCCATTACTGTCACTTATGATGCACAACCCACATAATGTAACGTAAAGTTTTCGGGACCGCAATGGTAAGCAGAATGTATTGTGGGGTATACAGTAAGGTATGCACATCTGTCCAGCCACGTTAGCTACACGGGGGACCATTTACAAATTAATAGATTCTGGCTCTTAAACGGAGGCCTGTGCATATAAGCTACTTTCATTTTTATCAGACAAGGAAGGATTATTTAATGTGCGCACTAAGGTCAGTTAATAGCTTGAGAGATATTTTTCCGTTTCATTTAGACTTGGATTACAGTTTACCTTCGAATTAATATTCACACAAGATGCTGTCTGTCAATTACATAACCCGAATTGCAGACGGCTGGTACATTCCCCTTGTATAATCGCCCAGCGATCAAAACCTAAGGACTTAAAAACGCTTTCAGCGGGCGACGTTATCCATTTATGCAAGATGCCGACAGATTTCCTTAACGCTGACCTCGATTGTGTGCCTGCCAGCGAACTGCCGGCACACGCACTGACAAACACAAACACACACACACACACACACACACACACACACACACACACAAACACGCAATAAAAAAACCGTACGGATCATTTAAGTTCCAGTGGCTGAAGTGCAGCAATTCGCCCAGAGACTCCGTCGGGTACTCATCGCACAGGAGCTTCTGGCCGCACGAAGACGCTCCGCTGTCGACAGCCGGCGGGAGGACGCTGTCGATCTGTCTCAAAACAATCTGCTTTCATATTACCTGTCTTTCAACCCTTTAACCTTTATCTTTTACACCTTTCCACCCTCTGCAGTTGTGCCGTTAAGCAAGAATAATATTACAAGCATTGTACGGGCTGTGTCTGCAAATATCTTTTCAAATTACGCATTACCAGATTACTTCCGCTTTGTTCCATCTCATTCATAATAAAAAAATAATGTATAGGCTACATTTATCTAATTCTCTCTTTTTAAGTAGACTCATTCAGATGACTGTCCAGTTCACTCTCCCACGTCACGAGTAGTCATGTCAATGTCAACAATGACAAGTACACGGTAAATATATCAAAAAATCCCTTTGGAAAAAAAAAAAAGACAAGTAGGCTTATACATTCTGTTTGGAAATCCTTATTCTAAGCAGCTTAGTAAAAGAGATACACGACACCAATGCATTTATTCAGCATTTTATATTTAATATGCAATATATGGAGAAGTAAAGGTTTTCAACATATCTCATGAATAACAATAATATGTTGTGTAATCTGTCAATCGATGGAGCTGGTTTTCAGAATGTATATACACTGTGCCCATAAAGAAAGCTCACCACAGAGCGAGCTTGTATACATATATAAATAACTGCAGTGTTCTCACAAGACATTTTTCACAGGCTCTGTATGACAGATTGACGACTTCCAACTAAAGTGTGATGTTTTTCTCTCAAGTCCCATCCACGCACTGTGTGGGAGGGGCCTTAAGGTCACCGCGATGACTGACAATCGGACAGGGATGCAGTCCTTTGGTTGACATCATTCTGTATTATAAACCTTATAAAGCATCCAGATTTTTATATATATATATATATATATATATATATATATATATATATATATATATATATATATATATATATATATAAACAAAGTCATGTTGAGTTTCAGGGTGGTGGGGGGTGCCACATAGAACAGGAATGGCAGAGATGGAAGGTAAATTATTCATACAGCAGCACGATGGGTACTGAACAAGCAGCGGGAGTGGGGAAGGGCTCATTGGAAGGAGAAGCCAGCAGCGGGAAGTCCGCCGCACCATTGGCTCACAAACTTCAGCACATCCTGGCACTCTGTACTGTGAGTGGTCTGGGAGACAGACAGACGGAAACACATTGACCAATCACACTCTGACCAAAGGCCAGAGCCATCCTGACATTGACCAGTCACATTGTGAGAAAAGGCCACAGCCCATCCTCACACTGACCAATCACATTCTGACAAAAGGCCAAAGCCATCCTCAACATGTTTGCGAATATGAAATGTCATTTGTGGGGGGGGGGCAAGCCTATTTATCAATTTTGAAAAGAAAGTAATTTTGAGATAACTGTTGTACATTTATAACTGGGGGCTGTATAAATGTGTAATGCGGGATTTCTATTATGCTAATAAATTTGTTGTTTGAAGAATTTGCTGCACTGCATCATCAAAAATATCTCAAAACAAATATAAAATTCATAAATGATGAAGTCCCAATGTGTTTGTATGTTTATATAGTACATCTCGTCTATCATAGTCACGAATCAAAGCGACTTTGTAAAAAAGGCTAACTGTAATGGCCTTACAGCGCTTAACACCAGAACAAATATGGGCCAAATATCACTGTGCTCTGTTCTACATACACCAGTGGTTTTTCTGTAACAGGATAACAAACCTTTGTGGCCATTAGGAATTTATTCCAATCATCCTTGTTTGCCGCCATTCCTGGTCTTTTGAACTCAATTTTACTCCGCAGCACCGGGTAGCCTGTAATCCACAGAAGACGAGTGTTCGTGATTATTTGACTCACACTGAAACCTGAGGATCAATTACTAGGTTTCAAATCACACGTTGTCTGGCTTAACCACCCATCTGACTGCACCTCCATCCATCTCAGGCTCTTCAGCAGAGGAACATCAGGCGTTAATGTTCTACGTCAACCAGCTCCTGCTGGAAACCGTTTTTTTGACCCGTGACGCTCTCGTGTCCCCTAGCAAGCAGTGATCAAAGACGGCAAGCAGGGTCATCTGGAGCGGGGGGGGGGGGCAGTTGGAGTTGTCTAAAATCGAGGTTGAGCAGAACACATCTGGCTGTGTGTTTAGCTCTTGGATATGTATGGCACCTGCTGTCGGTACTGAGCCGCCTCGTGACGAAGGCAGAACGGATAAGCGACTGCGCCCACCTGTGATGACGCAGGGCAGGGAACGGATTCCCGTGCTGCCGGCCACCAGGGACGCCTCGTACACGTCCCGCTCGTCCCGGGGCAGCACCTGGTCCACACGCTGGTCCATGGACACCGTCAGGACCCAGTCCCGGATCTCCTCTCGCTTGTCGTCCTGGGCAGAGCAGGGAGGTGACGCACAGCGTTAAATTCCCCTGTGGCTTATTAACTCGGACAGGGCCGCTGAGCGCTCCGAGGACATCTGACTCTTTCGGAACCCCCCCCCCCTGCCTCTCCAGGCAACATCAGCAGGCAGACCGGTACCCATCCCACGGTCACCTCACCACAGAAGTGCCATTTTTGGAAAACATTTGCACGAAATTGGCTCTCGCGACGCCAACCGTGGGACCCGGACTTACAGCGACGTGCTGTCTGGCAGGCAGGGGGACCTCATAAGGGATATCGGTTTCGAGGAAATCCGTGTGATCCAGAGCGTCCAGGCTGCCCTCGTCGATGCCCTGCAAGTACAGCGAAACCAGGACAGAGTACACATTTTACAGCATCGTGGATGAGCAGAAGAAGCATCCATGCATTTGTGATTAATAAAATAAAGCTACGCAAATGCAAAGGTTTTTATAAATATGTCATCATAGGAGAGGAAAATATAGCTGTTTTGTAACCAGCTAAGTAAACCTTTTTAAATATGAGCTGCGAATGTGTTTGCGCATAACACTTATGCTCATCCTTGAACAACAACACGTCTGAATATATGCTTAACTCTTGGACGGAGCTCACTCCTTACCACGCATCACATGAGAGCCCCTCACCTTGCTCATGTGTGGTTTTTAGGTTTTATAAGTCGGCCCGCTCGGACCCGACAGTAAGGGAGACGAGGGCTATCGCTCACAGAGGTGTTGCCCGCTGTGCGTCAGTCAGAGGTCGTGGCAGGCGCCGTGAGGCTGACTTACATCGCTCAGGTCCAGAAAGCGGTTCAGGAAGATGAAGGCCATGTTCTCCCAGCCGACTTCCTGGATGTGAAACAGACAAACGCTCTGAGTCGCGCTTGCATCCTCGCGCAACGGATGAGCTAACCCCATGCTGCTTGTACGCTCCTTTTTAATTAATTCCAAAAAAAAAAAAAAAAACTCATTTAGAGGCTTGCTGAAAAGCGCAACGCTAGTATTGCTTGGAGAATTTATAAGGCTGGTGCTGCTTTGGTCGAAGGTGGCAGCTTTTTCTCCAGAGTCCGTCAGGGTGTGATCGACGCGGATCGCTAAAGCAGGCAGGAGGACCCAGCGGCTGAGATCCGGCCCTCGCTCACCTTGGTCGCCATTCCCGCTTCGTAGAATGCCTTGTCCGCGGGAACGAGCTCCGTGTGGCGCAGCAGAGAGATGGACAGCTTGGCGGCCAACGTGTTCTGGAAGGGAGGGGACAGGAGTCGGTCGGTGGGTCGGTTCGAGTCTCACGTGTCGTGCGCCACGTGGGGGGTGGGAGAGCGATCGCACCCACCAGCTGGTCCACGCCTCTCGCGGCCGAGCGGGTGGCGTAATAGTGGGCGACAAGCAGCATCTGCTCGAACTCCTCGTGGGCAGGAGAGTTGGCCTCAGCTGACTTTACCAAGTTCTCGCACTGCAGAGAGATGGCGTGGGTTACCATAAGCGGTGGCAGGGGCCGGGGGATGGCTGAGAAAGTCCACCCCCCAACGTTCTCTACTCACTAGCAGCTGGAGGACATCCCGGAGGTTGGCCCACATGCGATACGCATCTGCGCTGTCTCGACCCGGCAAGTTTAGCAGGCCCAGAACCATCCTCTTGTAGATGTTGAAGTTCTGAAAGAGACGGGCAGACATGATGGATTCATCAATACCAGCCTGCTGCCTCTACCACGTTGATTGCTTTCTGTGAGCCCAGTGGAGCTGCCCGAGGAAGTGAGATCACTCCTCATGTAGCTGTGCAGCTCCTCCTGCAAGGTCACTCCTACCACTGCTGTCCTTCATCTTCCTGGAGCGAGCGGCAGGGACGCCAATGGGCGGCAGGGGTGCGTGGAGTGTAAAGTGCCACCTCTGGGCCGCAGACGGATGCGAACGCACCTGGGAGTTGGCGGGAACGCCGTGCTGCAAGTAGAGCTTCAGAACCAACGCAGGCTCCCCCTCCTTGATCAGGTGGGTGGCATACAGGGCCACGTACTTGTGAAGCACCTTGAAATTCTGGGGTATTGAGACATAGCTTGTCCGTTACAATGGAACAGCCGCGGTAATCATAACGATAATTCGTTAGGACTGTAGTATCGGAAGCAAGAGTCGCCAAGTCAACACCTGCTTAGAGGCTGTCTCAATGCACTTCTCCCACTGGCCTCTCTCAGCGTACATGTCTAGGGCGGCCATCACGTCTACTCCGACCAGCTGTGGACAAAAAAAGACAGACAGCAGTTAGGAGATATGGCTGTACTGGAATAATTATCAGCTGTCAGAGGCTTTTTGTGTGCAGGACAGTCTCTAAGTTTTCCGAACTGCGTATATGGGGGCAACCAATTTAAACTCAGTTACAGATAAGGGTGCATCCAAAAATGCATACTTGCTTACTATGTAGTAGGCAAAATTCCCAAGTGTGCAGCCGATGGACACTATGCTATCCCACAAGGCCACTGGAGCCGCAACAAGTGACCAAGAACATCATTTTCTCCCAAAGGCTTTATCCCTTTAAGGCTGTATGAGAAGCAGGGCCACGCCCTTTAAGGCTGTATGAGAAGCAGGGCCACGCCCATTAAGGCTGTATGAGAAGCAGGGCCACGCCCTTTAAGGCTGTATGAGAAGCAGGGCCACGCCCTTTAAGGCTGTATGAGAAGCAGGCCCACGCCCTTTAAGGCTGTATGAGAAGCAGGGCCACGCCCATTAATGCTGTATGAGAAGCAGGGTCAGGGATTGATGCTGTGCTTCCTGAAGTCATTGTCCTGTTTTTCCCTGGACACTGATTTCACAGAATGTTCCTACACATAACCACAGGATACAGCGTACGTGTTCAAAGACTAGCTAATCATTTCACACTAATGATGCACAGTGCAGCGTTCCCTTAATTACTGATCTTAATCAACTTCAAACGTTACATTTTTGCCCCTGAAAACTGGCCACACTTCACCCATTTATACAACTTTGGTTAAAGTGCCTTGCTTGGGGTACAAGGGATTAACAATATGGTCTTTGGTGACATACTTACGGAGTCCACTTTGCCCTGATTTTTCAGGTGTTCCTTGTATCTCTGGTCCACGTACTCCTCAAACCTACGGAAGGGGAACAGAATGGTGTCAGTGATGAGGAACGGATGGTATGTGATGAGCGCTCACGCCCCGTTCACATGTGTGTGCGTCTGGTGGGTGCGTGTGTCTGTGTGTGCATGCATGCGTGTGTGTGGGTGGGTGTGTCCGCGTGTGTCTGTGTGCGTGCGTGTGTGCGAGTGGGTATACCTTACCTTATGGGGATACAATGTCCCCACAACGTGATGAATACCCATTTGTTTCCCTTATGGGGACCAGTTTCCTGGTCCCCATCAGGGAAAACTCAATTTAATAAAAATCTGTGACTGCAATGAAAAAAGTAAAAATGCAAAAAATGTAGTTTGCTTGGTTACTTATGGTTATGGTTAGGGCTGGGTGGGGGTTAAGGTTGTCATTGTTAGCGTTAGCATTTTTCCCATAGAAATGAATGAGTGGTCCCCGACTTGTTTACCCGACTTGTGCGCGTGTGTGTGTGTGTGTGTGTGGCTGATGCATGGAGGATTTTCAGTAAGTGCTTCATCAGATTCCTCCCATGCACAAGCCCTGAGGGAGACGGCAGGAAAAGCGCCATGTCCTCTTAAGCAAATGTGTTGGTTTGGTTGTAAAACCAGGAGGCTCCCCTATCCCCCGAGAGAAGCCCAGGCTGCTTGGGTTGGGTTTGCAGCTTCTCCCTGGGGGGCACCTGAGGGAGGGGGGCACCTTACCTCGGGTCCAATTCCTTGGCCACCCTCTTGGCCTTGTTCCACTCCTCCCCCTCAATGAAGACATCTATAGCCTCCTTAATGAGGTCTACGTTGAGGTACAACTCAGCAGCCTGCGGCAACAAAGATTCATAAAACTTCCACTATTATTGTCAGCAGACAAACGAGGCAATAAGCTGCAGGTAACCAGTATGCTATCGTACATAACAAGCCTATCCTGTTAAAAATCCCTATGTTACAGTATTTAAAGGGAGTCGGTGACCTCACGCACCGTGCTGTACTTCCGTAGCTCCACCAGCCGTGGCCCCACAGCCCGAATGGTGTCCAGCGCCCTCTCCTGGCTGAGGAACTTAATGGCCAGCTCGGCCGCCTATCGGAGGACAGGCAGGCGGGAGGCGCCGACGTCAAAGCAATGACATCACCGCATCATCAGTGCTACCCGCTACCGCCTTCATGTTCATGGATACTAACTATCGTTAGCGTGCGCCATCGGTAAACTCCGCCCCCATGATGTGACGTCCAATAGGGCGTACTCTTTTCATCATGCGCCGCTGTTGTTTACATACCGGTTGGCAAGCAATACCGTGTCGCAGAAATGTCACTGCTCAGTGCGGTACCTTCGTCCAGCATTTCTCCAGCAGGGCGGCGTTAGAGGCATCCTCGACCTTCAGGTAGCACTCCACAGCCCGGCCATACTCTGCGGATTGTTCCCACTCTCTGGCCTGCTCCAGCAGAGCTTCCATGCCCCTGTCACACCGCACAACAGGCAGCGAAAAGTGATTACATATCAGCTTCGTTTGGCTGACGCCCGCATGCCCACAGCACTGATGCTGTTCATGCTTTATTCCAAAGAGACAAACCATTCGGAGCATGTTTGTCTTGGGAGTTTTCAGTGTCATTAGGTGACAAATGAGTAGTATCAAAAGAGTCAGCTTGAGTCCTGGAATGAACAGTAAGAGAAGATTACTGGGTACTACTGATATTAAAAAGAACAACTGTACAAAAACAAATTCTGATGTTCCTCCTCTTCATTTATTCATGTTCTGTATGCGTTTGTCCTATTCAGGGTCACGCAGGTTCAGAGCCTAACTATGGGCGGAATTACCCTGGATGGGCCATTAATCCATCGCGCACGCACGCACGCACGCACGCACGCACGCGCACACACACACACACACACACACACACACATCAACGATGGTTTATATCTATTTAAGCCCGATTAGGGCGGAGCCTGTGAGAGGTCTCATGCCAGTGCAGGTCGACAAAGTTACACGACGTTAATCTCAAAGATCGCAGGTGCCGGGCTCTCCCATGTAATCAGCCAATGACACATAAAGGCTTCGGCGAACTCCAGAGAGCCAGCAGCGACGACCACACAAAAAGCCATCTTTGCTTTCCGAAAAGGCCCTTTGATGTTTTCCCACAAGTCATTAAAACGGGGAAATTATCTGCAGAGGAACGACCCGACTGTGTCGGCTCTGTAATGAGCTTCTCGTTATGGATTTAATTTAGGATGAAAAACCTGCCATGTTTTAACAAAGGCCTGAGTAAACGTGAATAGATACTGCCACAACAGAAAGGCTCTGGTGAACGCTCTCCCCACAACGCGGGCCTAGTGCTGCGTGCGGAGATTTTTCCGATGTGAAAGCGCCCATCGGCCGATGACCCCCCTCGGTTACATTCGAGCCGACCGTGAATGTCGGGAGATGCTCCTCTTACCGGGGCCCCTTCTTGGTGGCCTCTTTCTCGTACTCCTCTTGTAGAAGCCCGAGTTTCTTCGGGACATACTCCTTGCAGATCCGCATTGCGTCGCTCCACATCCCCGCCTCCTGAAACAGAAGCTCTGGTTTACCCTGGATCTCATTTGTGGGCCAAAGATGCCCGTGTGCCTCAGAGCCCGAGATGACGTGTCGTTCCGCATCTACAGACACTCTGCATATTCACTACGGTCTGTCAGTAAGTAGCACTAGGTAGCTAGCGTCTCCTCACTTATCGCGGACTATGCTTTGGCCGATCGGGCTCCTACGGCGGAGGACAGCCAAGTGGAAGACTCATGTGTCCTTTGGAGCCACCTGACTTCATCCTCGGCGGATGACAGTCCTAGAACCGGCCTGTACTCAGGCCTGTCACATCCTCCAGCTCCCTGCGAGCACCGCTAGCTCTGAACCTGCCAGCTAAGCAAGCCATCTGAGCGGAGCGGCCACAGAAGGACAGGCCAGATGGGCTTTTGGAGGTCTGCTGGGCACATGATACAGGGAATCTTTCAACAGGCTGTCCCAGTGCTGTCTGCTCTGGTCCTGGAGGGCCACGGTCTGGGCAGGTCTTGCAGCTGTCCTGAAACAGCCAACGCCCTCAGCACTCAGAGTGAGGACCAGATTGGCCTAATTGGATAAGGTCTTAGTTGAATCATGTGCTTAAGTGCTCATTTGGGACAAAGACCTGCATGCATTGTGGGCTAGCAGACTCATGGTCAACTCCCATACTTCTTAAGTCCCCCTAATTTGTCCAGGTTTTAATCAATGTGATGTGGTGCTCTACTATCCCATGAAGGCCACAGGCTTCTCAGTTTCTCTCTTAATTAAGCAGAGAGGAGTTCATTATTTGTATAATAAGCTGCAAATAACATTTGCCAATGGAAAAGGAGCTCCAGACTGCTGTTGGGTCCCCGTCAAAGGCCCCGGCGTCCCTCTCACCTTGTAGTACTTGATGGCGAGCTCTGGCTGCTGGGCTCGCAGCAGGAGAGCCTCTGCCTTTTGGTACTCCTTCTGCTCAAAGCAGGATTTGGCCTGGCTCACCAGCACCTCCGCCACGCTGTCCGGGTCGTGGGCCTCCGCCACCCTCTGGGCATTGGCCCAGTCCTGATTGTGGATGTACCTGTGCAGGTAAGAGGAATTGGGACACTGAGTACTCAGTGTTAGCTACACACACCAATGCTCAGCTGCCCCTGGCCAGCAGCAAGAAGCTCAACAACATGCAGGTTTTTTGAATCAATAATGAACCACATTCTACTCCCCTTTTGCTAAAACGACAATTAATCAATTTTTGTCTTTCAACTAGGGGTTTCCCAGCATGCACTGCACGCCTTGAGGTGAGAGGGTTGTCATGGCAGGCCGTCCATGTCTGCCTGGGATACTTACATCAGCACGGCTTCTTTGGGCTTCCCTGCTTTGACAAACTCAGTCTCCGCTTCAGAGAATCTTCCCTTAAAAGAGAAAGCAGCCCTCAGGGTCATATTATAAGTTTACTGACCAACTAGTGACATTTAGAAGAATCCAATAATCAATGAAAAAATGAAAAGAATTATGCTTTATTTGCCATTTGCACAAGTCTGAGGGCAGGTGCATTGGCATGCGTCTTTCTGCATATCCCATCTTGCTCTCCTTTGAGACACACGAGTGAGAGTGAAGACTGGGGTCCAATCACAAGGTCAGGCCATTTATCAGGTAACAGACTTCGTTGCAGTTAGCTGGCTATTCTTAAGCCAGTTAATGAGGACTGGAGTCGTACTTGTAGAATGACCCTAAAGGCGCCGTACCTCATCCTCCAGGAACATGGCGCTCTTCAGGTGAACGTCCGGGATCTTGTGCTTCATGGAGAGCCGTGCCAGTTCGAAGGCGAACTCAAAGGAGCTGAAGTCGGAAAAGAAGGTAGAAGATCAGTATGTGGCTTAGCGTCTCCCGGCGCTTCTGAGGCTCGGAGGTCGCAGGCAGAGAGAAGCAGTGGGCAGAAGCGGCTCTCGGCCCTGGGTCTCGACAGCGGTGCTCTGTCTGTATTTTAATGGCTTACCTGGACACATATACCTGACAAGCACCTGAAATGGGGAAACACGAGCTGTACCACGAAAAGGCTGGTAGCACTTTAAAGACAGACCGTTGTACAAAGGTTTTAATCACCCAGGATAGCGTAGGAATTCACTCAACACTGCAGCTTTCTTTAGCACCTTAGCCTGTCAGACTGCCAATACCTGACTCTACTGCTTTAGTCATTCCCCTCCGTGTGTGGGGGGGTTTGCATGTTCTCCCCGTATAGAAAATGGATGGAAGGATGGAGCGATGGATGGATTATTCTGTGATCGTTGATTTCATGATTTCTTTGGGGGCTTATGGCTTTGTGTTCAGAGGGGGCCGTGAATAGGGCTCGTGGCACACACTAACCCCCCCCATTCGCTCTCACCCATTGTCCGCCGCGAAGTCGATGGCCGTCTCCAGCAGGCCGAACTTGCTGAGCAGCTTGACGGCGGCTTCCCCTCCCAGCTTCTTCGCCCACAGGTAGGCGACCTGCTTCGGGGCGCCCGGCCCTCCGTGGGTCTTGGCCACCTGGGGGGTCGTAGCGGGACACGTCGCAGTAAACGGGATGGCCGCTGAGAGTTTCCGTGGGCCGGGGCCCTGGCTCGCGGTATGAGCGTGTGCTGTGTGTGTGTGAGGGTGAGGATGAGACCGGCTTGGAGCCACACCCTGTAGGCCTCCTCCCACGTGTCGCTGGCCCTGTACATGTTGACGGCGGCCTTCCAGTCCTGGCCCTCCGTGTAGTGGTACTCCGCCTCCTGCAACCTGGATTCTCCTTCCAGCTCCTGAAATAGGGCGGCACAGAGGCTGGGACCTGGGCCACCGCAGTCAAACCCCCCAGCCCGGCGCCTGCGTCCCCGGTTCTCCACCTTCGCCAGGTGCAGGTGGGTCTCTGTCAGCAGCTCCCGGTGGTGCTTCTCCACCAACCGAATCATGTCTTCATACATCTTGTTCTTCTTGTACATGGTGATCGCCAGATCGGGCTCTTGCACGGCGGTGAAGAGCCTGCGAGAGAGAGACGGGCGTCACGCCGCGTCCTGTGCACGATAACGCCACCGCCAAACGCTTAAACACATGAGCGAATAGGATGCTCCAATGTAAAAGCCAATTAACGGTATGATATTTATACACCTACATTTTTATTTCTCATTTATTATTCTATTTATTGTTTTGTGTGTCTGTGTATTTTTTGACTCGACAGCATGTTCATATTGTGCAGCCGGTGCCTTTAACAAAACCAATTCCTTGTACTTTTACATGGCAAATAAAAGTATTCTGATTCTGACAGTGAAAAAGACCGTTATAGCAGTCATGCTGACGGATTGTGTGATTCCAGACGGCTGACTCCTCCCCATGTACAAAATCCTATAAACACTCGTCTCCCAGCTTTGAGGTTGCGACGCGTTTTTTGAGGTTGTGTCTGTACAGCCAAGCGACCTTCGGAAAAGGCCCTCCTTCGATCAGGCTCTCAACCGAAACTATCGGTGCGAATGTGAACACACGAAAGTGCTTTCTGTTCATGCAAAAGAATGAGTGGAGAACGAAGCAGGAAGTGATGTCACCTCTCAGCCTCCTTGAACTTCCCCTCCTTTTCAAGCTCCTGGGCGCGGCTGATGTACAGTGCTGTCACCTCCTCTTGGGTCATGCACTTGAGCGCTAGCTACAGGCGTGTAAGGAAGGGTGGGGCACAGTCACTTTCCAGCCCTCTCCCTCATTCCCAAGTATGCACTTGTACAAAGGGTTCGTGCTTCTTAAAGACAAGCAGAATTGAGCCATTAGAGGTTCTAAAAGAACATGCTTCAAGAATGGCTTCTTCACCACAGAAGATCACACTCCTCAACAGTTCCCCCTGCTTGTAACCAACAGCAATGCAGCATTTGCCCCATCTAAATGTTTACATTTGCACCAGCACAGAGCCCTGACAATCTGCCTGCAAAAGAATTGCACATCGTATGTGATGTATGTTACACATGACATGTATGCTCTCTGTATTATACCTTTGCCTAATTCCAGCATTGCAAAAATTGCACAAACCACCCTATTTATTAGCGGTCAAAATAGCAGTGGTGCTCGATCCATATTCTTTCTAAATATCTTGTGTTTACTCCTCTCCATTGCATATTTTGTGTCTCGTATTTATTCTCAGTCTGTAATTGTTAATAGTCTACTGTCATGACCCTAACAGCAGCGACATGTGGCGACAAGAATTTCCACCAGCCTCGGTCATGCGGAAATAAAGATACGAGTACTGATGGTTACTCTAATTCGCTTACTCCGAAACTGCCGAGTAACCGGAGGTGAGCGTGAGGCGAACGTGATGCATCCATCAGAGGAAAGGCAGCATTACCCCGTGAGCCTGCTCCCAGTGCCCAGCCTGAGTGTGCATGTCGATGGCATCCCTGATGCGGTCGCCTCTGACAAACAATCGCTCGGCAACCTGAGGTAGAGACACGGACAAGACGCGTTTTTCTCTGAGCATACAAAGTGAGTCTGTTAGCATTCGCCAGGGCCCCTTACTTTCTGAAGAGACACTCTAAAAGCCCCATTATTTTCAAATAACTGACAGCTGAGAAGCATCTCTGCCGTGATGACGGCGATTTGGAGGGACGGGGCAAGGGAGACGCCCACCTCGTAGTCCTGCACGGAGGCGTAGTGCTGCGCGATCTTCTGGTAGTACTTCTTGTTGGACCGGTCCTCCTGCAGCTCCAGAATGTGCACCGCCTTCTTCCACTGGCGCGCCCCAATGGCCGCCTCGATGGCTTTCGAGGAACAGCTTGTGGAGGAGTAAGAGAGAGAAAGAGGGGGCGAGAGAGAAATATAGGTGCCCGTCACTCTCTGTGGGACAGAAATAACGCAGCAAAACGACGAGTCAGCAGAGGCTGGTGGTGACGGAAACAAATCCGCTGAACAAAATCGTCTTAATGGAAGAACTTGTATAACTACCGTGGAGTCAGTTTGGATGGAACTAAACACTTGGAAGCCATGAGGAACGTTGGATCTTACATGAGCAACGTGTGGATACAGTTCATTGGTTACCTATTTACTTGCCCCCATTGAGTAGAAGATAACTGGTTGGGGTCAGCTGGACCCGGAGTCACACTACAACGTTAATGGTCAGCCAACCCCCACACCCAGGGCTTTAAAGCCCTCTCTCTCCCCACGCATCCCCCACTCACCCGGCCTCGATGTAGTGGTTTATTGCGGCATCCATTTGCTTCTGTTGGACCAAGTAGTCACCCCAAGCCTCCTCCAACTTTACCACATCGGCGGGGAAGGCGGCGCGGGCCAGCTCCACAGCTGCAGGGGGCGACAGAGAGACACATCGGTCGGTTAAATCTGAACTCCTCGATCGAAACTGAAGGGCTTCCTTCGGGCGCCACCGCTGATCCCGCTCACCCTTCCGGAAGGCGTTCCCTTGGCGGTAGCAGTCCAGCGCACGCTGGTTGTTCCGAATCTTCCCGAACAGGTCGCCGGCCTGCAACATCGAGATCCCTTCGGCACAGCCGTCTCAAATCCCTTAGGCATGACCCCGTTATTGCATTTCCATTCATGTTTATTTATTTATCAGACCAAATTGCCCAAATTGATGTAGATGTGATACAGCTATCAAGGAGTCAACAAGGTATGAGGGCGGAGCTTCCAATGAATGACCAGTAACGAGTATAAGTAGTTAGAGAGCTAAACCGTATAATGCATTTCAAACATTACAGAGATGTATTGGGACTATTCAATCAAAAGGCAAAATAATACTAAGAGTCATCAGGGACCATAAGAGACCAACGAGGGAACTGAGTATGGTGCAGGGTAGTCGTTGGCCAAGGTGTGTCACGAGTGACAGAGGGAACACCCACGGCCCTCTCATATTCGCCGCTCCTGACATCTGTCACCGTGGAAGCAGTCCAGTCTGGCGGCGGGAGCCCCATCACACAGAAGCAGCCGGTTGGCCACCTGGTGCAGCGCTCACCTGCTCGTAGAACTCCCCCTTCAGGAGAGCGGAGGCGATGCGGCTGACGAGCTCGCCGCTGGAGATGAGCTCGTCGTGGCTCATGGTGAGCCGTGCTGCCTTGGCTGGAAGTCCCGCCCGCAGGTACAGGTTGATGGCGCCCAGGAGGTCACCCTCGGCCTCTTTCACCTCGCCCGCCTTCTCGTCCTGCTTGGTGTCCATCAGCCACTGGTGGTAGCTGCGGCGTAGGCTGTCCAGCTCAGGGTGGCCCTACCACGAACGAACACCATTACTGGGGAGGCACTGGGCCCGCACCAAAGGGAGTTTGTTTTAAGGGGGGGGGGGCATACCCTGGACTCCGCCAAGGCGATGCATTCGTCCCACATGTACAGCTCCTGGTACATCTCCATCGCTTCGTTGACTGCATTCTGTGAACGGTTCAGAAATATTGTGGAAGATGGGGAGGTGGGGGTGGAGATGGCCAAGTCAGGTGACCAGCACGTTCTTGGTGGTGTCTGGCCCCGCAGAGTGGAAATCTGTGCCTCTGATCAGAAGGACAGAGGTTGAGATCCCCGTGGCTGGCAGAGCGATTTCAATGTTCGGTCCCTGAGCAAGACCCACAACCCCAACTGCTGATCCTGCTGCCTCAGCTGTACGTCACTTGGGGTAAAAGCATCTGCTAAACAGGTATCATCCAAGTAAACAACACAAAGTGTGCCATGCAAGCAGAAAAACCTAGAAGACAGCAGAGGACCGCATGAATCAGGACATTTTAGACCCGGGATCAAAAAACGCCATGTTCGCGTAGGCTGGTGGTTCCCGTGACCCAGGAGAAGGTGATACCTGTTCTAAGTAGCACATCTCAGCCAGCTTGTAGTTCTTCTCCAGCATGGCCAGGCGAGCTTTGACCTGGTAGTATTCAGTGCCGTCGCCACCCTGGAAGGTGAGATAAATCAGTACAGAACATTAGAGCCATAGAACTGTTATGACCAAGTGACAAGGGCTGTTGCGATTGGTCTACGACCAACACACATGACCTAAATGGCTTTGATGAAATGCTATATAGTTCATGCCACATTAAGGCGACATCACATGCTATCTAGCTGGAAACAGGACGTCGACATCCTCCCGTTGCTTCCAGGTCATGAGGCTGCAGTGCTGAAGGCCCCACAGACATGGCTGCCTGTCACTCACTGTCACCTGTCAATTTCCTGAGCTCAGTGCAGTCACTGAGCATGGCTCTTTAAACACTATGTCCCCTACTGCCCATTGTCACCACTGCAGCACCACTCAACTCCTTTAAAATTTTAGGGCTGATCATTGAACTATTATGGGTTGGTCCAGTCTATGAATTTTAGTGTCATTTTTTTCCCCAGATGCCGTGGATCTCCAGGGCTGAGGAGTCCTGGGATGCATCAGATGGATAAGAAGGACTTATGAACCCCATAGAGCAATCGGCCCCCGCTCACTCATATAGAGGGGGCTGACCCCTCCCACGTACATATTCCTTGGATATGTTGTCGGCGATCCGGTTGGTCTCGTTGAGGAATCGTGCTTTGGACACGTCACCCAAGGCAGCGAAACACCTGAAAAGGATAATCAAGCACTGATTGGTTAACCATGGAGGGGGGGGGGGCTTCGCTGTTAGTCGAGCAAATGCGCCATGGTGTGAATGAAAGCTTCAACAAAACTGTGCCGTGTTGCCACCTCTGTCTGAGAGGTTGCATCACTGCGCCATGAAGGTAAATCCAGCTAATGGGCTGTACTGTTCCTCTGAATCATCTCCTCTTTACTCATTCACCATTTTCCTCTGTGGACAAAACGGTGATCCCTCTCAAGATTCATGCTAATCCGGGCATACTTAACGAAGCACTCTGCATTATTAATGCTATGCTACATGCAAATTTTCCCACGAAAAAATGCTTAATAAAGGAACAAAGTTGTCCAGTGGTTATTTGAGCTAAATGAACACAGTCCACAAAGACCTTAGCAGTCATGAGGAAAGGCCCATCGCATCAATCAGGGAGACGATCGACATGCTTTTTGGTGCTGCCCCCTCCCCCCCCTTCACCGCATGAGCCCATGGAAGGAAGAAAGTATTCCCCCAGGCAAAATCGGACTCATTTCATTGGTGGAGAACACTCAGGTCTACTCCCTCATGGCTACATGCTACATTAGAGCTTAACACCCCCCAACCCCAGTAAATATCAGGACCTCATCTGCTGGTTTTCAGCCTGACGGTCAAACTGGAAACGGTGAGCACCGCAGCGCCCCCTACTGGTCGAATCACCTCTCCGCGATATGGAGCTGCCGGGCTTCTAGGGACAGTCTGCTCAGCGTCTTCCACATGGCCTCCGTCTCTGGGGACATCTCCAAGGTCTCCAGGAAGGCCGTGGCTCTGAGGAGAAACACACTGTCTTTGGCAACAGCCCCTAATCCTGACCAAGGAAAGCTGAATGACCCAATGGAATCATAACCACGTGTTAAGGCTATAATGAATGAAGGAGACCCTGAAAGTTTTAACTGATTTAAAGAGTTTAAAGTGCACTTAAATCCCTGATATTGCATGTAACCCCTTGGGAACAGACAAGCTAGTTGCTTATCTGGGTCAATAAGTAAAAATGCATACATATTAAACATCTTTTCAGAAGAGGGAATTTGCCAACAATAATCTCTCATGGATGTTCTCCCTGACAGGCAGGAATCGTGGAGAATCGTGGTCGAAGGAGAGCAATGAGTATCACCTGCAGTAGTCTTCGTCGTCGATGGCTGTTCCAAACTCGATCAGTCCCTCGTCCAGTGTGTAGGAGACCGTGTTGACGCCCTCGGTCACGATAACCTCCGTTTTGCCATTGGCTCTCTCCAGGTCCACAATGTCCCCCTGAGATTACACGCTAGTTAGCAGAGGCTGCACACAGAAGTGGGCAGGTGATAAGCAGAGTGTCACATTAAGTTTGGAATTGGAATAAAGAGTGGATACTGAAAACTGCAAAAGGGAGAGCAAACTAAAAACAATACTGGGATGATCAGCATTTATTAGCATAAAATATACATAATAAGTAATTATGGCAATTTGATATTGTATTAGAATTCAGGTGGAATGTGTAAAACGGAGCGCAGGCAGCTCCTAATTAATGTAAAACTGTCAGAGTTATGGACAAGCTAACACTAAAAAAACAGAAAATATATTTAAACAGTCTTTTCATTTATTTAAAGTGTGTTCTATAGTACGCATCACTTTATTTTTGGTTTATGTGTTTTTGGCTATAAGGCAGAGGTAGGCAACCCTAAACCTATAGTGCAGGAATCCAGCAGGCTTTCCATCCTACCTGGTCTCTAAAGAACCACACCAGTGGCCTGTACTACAAAGCGGGGTTACTGACTTATCAGGATAACTTGTCGGATTTAAGGTAGTCTGAGCAAAATGTAAGTGAACGAATGTGAAGTCCATTTAAGCTGTGGTACCTTAAATCCGACAAGTTACCCCGATAAGGCAGTAACCCCGCTTCGTAGTACAGGCCACTGATCTCAGGAAAATAATAACTCATCAGGCAGGTTGGAAAACCTGGATACTGGCATTCCAGGATCAGGGCTGCCTCCCTCTGATATAAGGTGTCTTGTTTGGTAGGAGGGAGTTAATCCAATTTAGGTAAGGGTTTGTGGAACAGATTACTTCTGTGTGTCGAGAACTGCCTGTATATTGTTGTTAGATGCATTTGGATGCTCTGGTGGACAGCAGCTGTGTAGTGTAAGAGTGAGCCAATCCTGGCTCCAGAAGGGCATCATGTGACAAGCAGAGGTCAGCCGCTGACCCGTAGAGGGAACATGGTGACCCTCTCAGGGCTGTCGATGTTGTACCAGACGCAGAGGCTGCCCCGGTTCTGAGCTACCACCACGTCACTGTCCGGCACCCACTGGACGTAGGAGCAGAAACTCAACACAGGACCCTTCACGCCGCTCTCCACGTCGTACAGGTGGAGCTGCAGAAGAGATGGAATGCGGCTGATGGCTCGGATATGCAACCCCACAACTAGGGCTCTCGTTTACATTAATGATTGGATCACTGCCTTCAGGTGCCACCAGGGGGCAGAGCGTCACCCTGGAGCCTCACCCGCAGCTTCTTGTCCCGGAAGAGCAGCTTGCGGCCCGTCTCGTTCAGCTCCAGCCAGTCGATTTTGGCGTCATGGCTGACGGTGCCCAGGTTGTAGCCGCTGACCAGGTCCACTGAGTGAGTCAGACAGACAAGGCTGAGTTGCATAGGAAAAGGTCTGGAATTTGCATGAGGGAGTCAGGATGGGGGCGGGGGTTAAGCTGGAAAACGGAGCTGGCCACCAGAATGAACAATACAGACAGCGCGCTGTCCAGAGAGACAGGGCATCCGAACGTGGAACTCTCCAGCGGAGACAGGCTGTGACCGAATCTTGAGGCGGCGGAGTGCTAAGCGACCGTGAATGGCGTCCTGAGAAGGAGGAAGAGCAGGAGCCGGACGCTGATCTGCCAGCACATCGGCCGACTCCCGTTTCTTACACCAAAAAGGGTCATTTTCACATGAAATCACCCCCAGGAACAGGAGGAGGAACAGGCTGTTTGCTGCATGTTCAGAAAGCAATGCCAATTTACACCTTCTAGCCAGATTTAAAAGCACACACACATGCACACACACAAACACACACACACACGCGCACGCACGCACACACACACGCGTACACTAGTACGCGGGCGTGCACACTTACGCACATGCAGAGCAAAAGGTGTGGGTGTGTGTAGGAGGGGGGGGGGGAGGGCTGTCAATCAGTGCAAATAAATTGGATGGAAGTTATTTTTCCATTTTCACCACCTGAAAAAGACAGACAGAAGGACATGCTCGGACTTAATTAACACAGGAACCGGACAGGGCTGCAGCAGATGGGGCTCTGAGCTGTGGGGAAGGGGGGGAGGGCGGGGGATGGGGATGCTCTACACCGCTACTGTCAGGTCACCAGGTAATTGAAAGCCATTTTTGGGACCGGCGTGCGGTTGCTCTAAAACACACCTCCTTCGGCGAAATCCTGCAGTCGCCACCAATACGGCTATGACTCTCACTTATGCATTATTTAGTATTTAACCCCGCCCCCCCCCCCCAAAGCAAACGCATCACCTTAACCAATTTACATGGCTGAGTATGTTTATCGATGGAACTCCATGTTGCTCAAGGCTATGACAGCGGAGCCCATCCTGGGACCTGAACTTACTGCCTTCTAATTAAAAGTCTGGCTCCACAGGACCCTCCGGTACCCGCCCAGCCCGAGCGGGACATGCTGACTGGCCAAAAAGGGCACGGCTCCCGCGAAAGGTCAGCTTTGTATAATGTGGGGATTCGCTGAGGGGAATGAGAGTAATTTGGCTATCGGTCGTCTCGTATCACGAGGGAGCAGACACCAGAAGGCTCAGCGTCACCCTCCGAGCAATAAAAATGGCCTTAAATAAGCCGACTGCTGACAGGGCGGCACGTTTGTTCAGTTCGTTTTTTCAGTTTTAGGTTTCGTTCAACATTCAGGCACGCAAACGACTCCAGTTTGTTACTAAGATATCAGTAACTTTCTGGAGAACAGAAGAAATTATTGTTTTTTTTATTGTGTTACTGTTCATTTGTATACATTCTAATATTAAATTTCCTGAGCAAATATACATTTACTACCCAGATACATAGCTTTTAATGTTTTCTTTGACCGCCTTTGACTTTTGCTCAGTACTGTATATATGATATTCTATACACTCCAGACATCTCACAAGAAAAGCTTTTGAAGTTTTAAATATAAGATTCATGTGAAAAACAATTTGAACGCAATAAAAAAACATCAATTTTCTCCTAAACTTATGGAATTACCCTTTCCTGGGAGAAAATATGTCACAAACGAATTCTGGTGAATAAATGGCAGGTAAGTTCCGAGAGGCTAGAGTGAGCGATCCAGTGACTCCCAGTCGCCTTGCTGGTGGGACTGGGAAATGAAAGATGCCCTGGATAACCTCACTGTGGATAAGGCGAAACCTCCCCATTGACAAAGCTCCTTTATAAATGGAAATGAGTCGCTTACCAATAGCAATGGTCTTGATGTCGATTAAATAGGCCAACTTTTTGTTATCTTCGACACCCCTCTGTCTCCGCTCGTTCAGCCGCACGCTACGGAAGTGAACACACGCAGGGATTAATGGCCAGCGTGGAAGGAGGGGAGGATTTTCATTTTAAGAGGAGAAAACAGGAAACTGCCATTATGCAGATAAAACTGTTAGTTTTGACACGTCTGGTTACATTAACATGGAGCCATAATAACAGGCCCTCCAGCGGGAAGGACATGGCAGCTGTATGCAAACGCCACAGCCGCTATGTAACTGGATAGCTGGAGTGAAAGGGCAACACTGCCACCTGGTGGCAGCAAGCAAAAGCAGCACCGCTGGGAAGGTCCTCCAAGAACAGGGCAAAGAGAAAAAGGTCTGGATTGAAATTACCCTACTGTCATTTTGTTGGGCGTTTATTTTAACTCGAACCTGATGAGATGGGGGTTCATGAATTCGGTCCTCACGGAGCCCAGGATCTCATTGTTCCCGTACTCCACCAAGGTCAGCTCCCCAACGTTGAAGATCATGCACACCTATCCCAGAAAAACAAAAAAGGACCATTTCGACACAATCAACTAGCTCCCTTTCTGAGGAGAGGGCTAATGAACTTTAGGTTAGGATGACTAATTTATTTAAACATATTTGGAAGAGCAGTACAGCAGTACACACTTTATAAGGGGCTTTCAGATATGAGAATAATTCTTAAAATGTTATTACTGGAATGAAGACATAAGAAAGGAGGAAAATGGACGTCCTACCGTTTCATTTTCGAAGAAGAATTTCTCATTTCCTCCGGAGCCTTGCCAGGCCACCTGGAAGACAGCAACAGGAAGGTGTTTGGAGCAAATATGGGCCCTGCAGCGCCCCCTTTCTGCCACATCACCCTGGAGGACACTGCGTCTTGGCCTTGATCGCGTCCGTCGTCTGGGAAGGGCCCTCGGGCATTGTGGAAGGCTCGCTGAGAAACCCTCTCTCATGCAGGTATTAGTTCTATGAACCATGACAGGCCTCAAACTTCTAATTAATTTTGGGAAGGGGGCCGTCAGGCATTGTGACAGGGGCGGTCTGCCACCATGGGGGGACTGCGTATACATGGAGGTAATGGTCACCTTCAATCCATGTTCAGACTCGGGGTGGGGATAGGAAAAAAGAATTGCCAGCGTCTCTCCTTTGTTATTTAAGTTAATAGTGCAGGAAGAACTGTCCCTCACAAATGACTGTACACTGAACAGAAATGTGCCATCCTGTCCGCCTAGGCCAACTAGGCAAAGGCTTTGGCAGGACCCATCAGATAATTATCTGTTGCAGTTTTTCCAACCCGGTCCTCAGGGACCCACAGACGGTCCATATTTTTGCTCCCTCCGAGCTCCCTGCCAGATGGTCCACATTTTTGCTCCCTCCGAGCTCCCTGCCAGATGGCCCACATTTTTGCTCCCTCCCAAGTCCTGGGGGGAGGCAGCAAAAACATGGACTGTCTGTGGATCCCCCAGGACTGAACTGGGAAACTGATCTGTAGCTCTGAAAAGCCGACAGAGACACAGTGAGGCACAAACGCGGTCGGCCAGCACCTCACTCAGCTTGTTGGAGCCGAGATCCCCCAGCAGCAAGGTGTCGGACGTCTGGGCCACCAAGTACCGGTCCTTGCCCATGATCTTCACCTCGTCGATCTCGTACCCGTAATGGGACTTAAGAACCACACGTGTGCCGGTGGATAGGTTCTTCACAATTACCTGGAACCCAGAGGGAGACACCAGGATGAAAAACAGCAAGGAGGTCACAGGTCAAGTGAGAGAGCGGCACCACTACCACCGATCACAGCTCAGACCGTATATGTACATATATCTTGTAACCGCAGTTTAATTTAAATATGTTGTTTCAGTCTTAGATAATGTCTTAGTTTCCTATCTCTTAACATAACATCTGATTTATTCATTAATTCACCATGCGATGATCCTTCAGCCACTGACAGCTGAACTACTCACCATTCGCTAACCAACCCACCTGACTGAGGCCCACGTAAGTCATTTCAAACTTATTCTTGTAGATGCTTCTCCGTAGACAGCAGTCAAACTGCTCTACTCCCCCGCACAGCGTGCCCTGCGCACAGACGTTGGGAGATGTCACGCACATCCAACGCTGCACACAAGCGAAGCTCATTTCTGAAAAGGCTGCACCATGCATACTTTAGGAGGGGGGGGGATCCTAACCAAATGCAAGTGGCTACCCTATATTTCAGCATTTTTTGCTTAAACTTCAAGCAGTGTGATCAGAACTAGTAGAAGAAGATGTTTAAAGTGATGATGCGGCCTGTACTATTACCTGACCAGAACCCGCTGAGGTGATTTAGAACTAAACGGATAGAAAGGTCAAGGCTACAGTGCCAACTCGTGCAAATGACTTGTGGGAGTGGGCGGGGGACAGCAGTGTTGGAGTAAACATTCAGAAAAAAACACCTTTGTCCTCGAGTTTGTTCAGTTGTAATCACTGTGAAAAGGTGGCCATTTTGACTTAGCCTGTTTTTCTTCCAAAGGTAGTGTTTGTCATTTGTTTAATAATTTAATACAGTCTATAATGTTTTTTTTCCTCGTGAGCATGGTACTGATAGTGCTTACATAGCAATATAATATAAGAAACTGAAAGTGGTCAAAGAATTTCGACTGGTATCTAAAGGCATGCAGAAACTTCCAGGTACTATTAAATGTTTCTATTCCGCATCTGCACCAGGATTTTCAGGACGATGCGAAAAACTGACAGCGCAGAGCCGAGATCCGTCCCTTTTCCAGGCCAAGGCGGTGATGGTGTACAGGTTGGGGATTTCTTTGGGGGATGCTTCATCCCAGGATCCTCGACGAGGACTCCAGTTGAACACACGCAGCCTGGGGGAGAATATTTTAGTTGCTCAAGAAGGTCAGGACGCAACACTGAAACACGCGGAACTTTGCAGGGATGCAAAAGGCGAAGGTGTGCTACATGGAGACTGACCGATCGTAGCTGCCCACGACCACGGACTGGCCGCTGGGACTGGCAGCTGCCGTGGTGAACTCCTTCTCCGAGCGATCCTGGCTGTAGTCGAAGGTCTGCAGCACGTAGCCCTCCTTCCCATAGGCCACGATCTTCTTATCACAGCCGGCCACGATAATGCTGTTGGCACCCCAGGCAAGGGCGTAGGGCGGGCATGCATGCGTCAACAGCTTACCCTTCAACACACACAGTACAAAGACAGAATCAAACACAGTTAATACTTTAGAACCTTAACTTTATAGCTATACCAGCAGTCAGAATCCTATAGGCAAGACATTTCTCCAACAAAGAAGTTTCTCATTCCACAGGTGTACGGGAGGGCTCTAAGTACCCCCTCTGAAAAACACAAAATGTATCGAGTGAGACCCCCTCCCCCCCCCCCCGCCCACCGCTTGGCCGGTCGAATATACCACGGAGGTCTCGCCCCTCCGCCAGCAAATCTACTGCACGGTCACGCCCCTGTCTCATCACATAGCATACCTGAGACTCCCCAGAGCCCTCGTCATCAAAGAAATACCGCACCACGGTCCCGTCGGCGTGGCCGGAGAGTACGCCTTTCCCCGAGACACTGCGGGAGAAGGAGGTGAGGCAATAAGAGAGAGACTGTGCCATCTTACAGGGAAACAGCACAATGCAATGGCGCAATATACACACTTGGATGTCAGAGAAACAACGTAGGACTCGGTGCCATATAACGTAGAAGACTTGTTCGTTTTTGTGTTGGCAAGACGAATCTAACGGGAGGTAAAGAAGCAAACAGACAGAATTACTGTTGATTTGAAAAGTAATATACATTTCTGACTTCCTGGTATACTAAAGCATGATTCATGATCAAAATACAAATGTTAATGCAGATCTAAGATTCTATTTTTAAATTCTTAATAGCGTTTAAGATAACAACCTACCTTTCCCTCAGCCAATCCAAAAATAATAGCATTTTCTGCAGGCCAGACCAAGCATGTTACAGCACTCTAAATGCATAAAAAAACAGAAATCGTGTAACCAACACCAAGACAGAAACAATTCTACCACCTAGCAGAGAGCATTATTGAATGCAGATAATACATAATATGTTTTATTCATCACGCTGTGGTAAATTTGTATTTTAAGGTGCAGCTGGGATTACAGCCCACAGCTTTTAAAAATGATCACTGTGGGCTTGATTTTAAAGATGGAGATGGAGAGCACTACAAATCTCCCAAAGTAGACACAAGATATAAATAAGACACTGTTTCCATAAGGATACATTAGAATAAGAAAACATTAAAATAAGGATACATTAGAATAAGAAAACATTAAAATAAGGATACATTAGAATAAGAAAACATTAAAATAAGGATACATTAAATACTTACTGTCTGCACAAACTTATTACAGATGACCTTCTTCTCACCCCTGACAAGATAATAATTAATTCCATTAACTCATAACATAAACAGGGATGCAGCGAGCATCTAGGGCATAACTCTGGGTAGAGCTTTGGATGGGTTAAGGTCTACACCCATTTAAGGGGGTCCAGGGGATTGTATTGTCCATTTTCCATAAAACACTAAATTGCTTCCACAATAAAACCAATTCGTTAATTTATTTTACGTTTTTTAAAAGTTTCACCAACATATCTAACAGTAATAACAACAGTAGTAATAACCAAGTGAAACACCTTACCATTCTTCTCCAATTTTGTAAACATAAATAATATTGTCAGTTTGTGCTATAGCGATTTTTGTTGAGTCTGGGGAAAACGCCATGGATTTGACCACATAACTTTTCTTCCCATACTGCAAAAAGAAAAAAAAATACATACATACACACATTATATATAATGTATATTTTATTACAGTTGAATGAAGGCGAACACGCACATTGTGTTTAAGACAGTTGTCTATAACAATATAAGCGAGGTTAAAAGAGGAGATCGGCGTAGAAGGAGCTACCTTTGGGTCTGCGGGTTTGGTGGAGAACTTGTCCCTCCTCTCCCCCTGCTCATCGTAAAGAAGCACAACTCTGTCGACGGAGCACACCGCAAATTTCGCGTTGTTGGGCGCCCATACCATGCAAGTGATTTTAGCTGCTCCGTCCTGCAGAAAAACGGCGATCGGATTAGAAACCCAAAGCATCACGCAGCAAAGAGAAACCACTGATTCCCATATCACCTGGCGATGAGGAGCTGTCTTCGGCAGGCCTTAGACAACTAGCTATATGATCAAATTTAGAAAACCCAGCTAGTACCCTGGAATAAGCGATCCGCTATTTCTGTGCTGAAAACAGAAACACGATAATCATAATATTTACGAGTTATGGTTAACAGCTATACTATGTTACCATAATATTGTTGTTTAATGTTGTCTAAGTATTTATGTTGTCTAAGGAGTATTTTTTCACATTTCTGTAATATTTTTTTTCTGTTAGCTAACTAAGCTAAACAGTAAACTTACTTGAGGGGTTAGGAGCGTCTTCAGATGTTTTAGTTGCATAGCTGGACCTCTAACGTTGAGCAATTTAAAATGCACGAAATTGGAACATCTTCCTGAAAATAAAATATATTGAAAATGGTTTTATAATTCTGATTTTATTTGGTGATAATAACAGCAATTTTGGTACAGTAAACGTCTGCACTTAAGAGGTAGACATTTCTGTAAACATCCACTCTCTCCCTGGTTACCGAGCGCGATTTGAGGTAGCGTATGACGAAAGCACGTCATTTTAATACGTCCTGCCGCACTCCACCAATCTTGGCACGGATTACGTTTTTAAGTATTTTACGAAGCGTACTGGTCTGCTGTAGTGTAAAATGATAGCATGGATGTAGTAATGCATCCAAAATTGTAAATTTTGGTTTTATGTAACAAAAAAAGGTTACAGCTGGAGATGCCGGGGATTGAACCCGGGGCCTCATACATGCAAAGCATGCGCTCTACCACTGAGCTACATCCCCGAGCTTATCCGTGATAAGTTTTTCAGCGCTGAAGTATTCTTTGTATTTAGGTTTTGTTAAGCGCTATACATTTGAAATCTAAACAAGCATAGACATCACAACCTCTGCTCTACCGTGTGGTATGTGTAATGGTTTGGACTGTTTCTCTGGGGCATGCTTGATTATGCACAATCTGGGGCCTTTCTTGGCTACACCGCAGATAATTAATCAGTATCACATTTACTTCCGTTTATACTTTAGTTAAGTTTACTTACGTTTTGTCGATTTTAAGCATATCAATATGGCTTAAATGTTTTATACTTGCAACAAATAATATCGGACAGACTGATTTAAGGACACATTCCTTTCAAAATAAATTCTACTAAATTTCTTTTGTTATGGTTGTCATGAGGAAAGTACATAGCGACGCTGTCTAAAATTAACTCCCAATGTGACTAGAAAAACAATGTGACATGCTTTGAAGGCCAAAAATAAGGCACACACTGGTTATAGCTTTGACTTTAATGACGTCTTTGGCAGGTATATAAGCCGGTGGGATACAACCAGAAGACAATCAATATAGTGATTGTTTTTTTAGCATTCATTTAGTTTCTGGTTTGATTGCTGTCCAAGTATCTGCCAAGGAGAGCTTGCTGAGATGCACAATCAAGTGATTCAGTACTTTGAGTGGCTGTTTATAAAGCTGCATTCTGTGAAGGATTTCATCGAGTTAACGATTGGGGCAACTTTCTATTTCTTCGAAGCTTTTGTTCGGCTGCTGCTCCAGCCAGCCAGGAAAGACGTGGAGGGTGAGATTGTCCTGATAACTGGAGCAGCGCAGGGTATCGGCAAACTGATCGCGGAAGAACTGGGACGGCTCGGAGTCACCTTGGTCCTTTGGGACGTGAACTGGGAAGCCCTTGATAAAACCGCCAAGGAGTTGAGACGTATGTTAGATGTGCGTGTCTATGCCTATGCCTGCGACTGCAGCCGACGCACGGAGGTGTACAAAGTTGCGGATTTGGTAAAATTCCTTACTATATGCTTAGTTTTTTTACATACTTGATTACAACAGTACGTAGCTCAGGGGTCATCAACATGGTGTCGTGGGTTCCACTATGCGCCAAAGGACCACGTGAGTCGCCCGCGGACCTGTTCTAAAAATAGCAGAACTCACCACTGAGCAGCGTCTAAAATTTTACTTTATCCTGTTGCTATTCTTCTTCAATCACATTTGCATTCATATAGATTTGAAAATGACTATATCTAAAAAAAAAAAATAAGAATTTTAAAGATGTTTATTATACATGAAGTTTAGATAAGTTTAGGAGGGCGTTTCAAACTGGTAGCCCTTAGTATAGCTCAGTACCCATGAAGTAGCTCTCAGTTTCAAAAAGGTTGGTGACCCCTGACGTAGCTTGTTTTTTTTTTAGCAATGATCACTTTGCTAGTTATAGATACTATAATACGTTAGCTTAAAAGCTGTTGACCAGACCAGAGAAATCAAAACATGACCTTTCTAGTGAATTTACAGTTCCTCTCGGTATCTCTCAGTATTTACACCTGTACGCTCTGTCATTATTTACTAGGTTAAGCGAGAGGTTGGGGACGTTTCCATTCTGGTAAACAACGCTGGAGTGGTCACAGGGAAGTATACATTTACAGAAGCTCCAGACAACCTCGTGGACCGTACACTGAGGGTCAATGCAGCTGCCCACTTTTGGGTAAATGCTCATCTTCAATTTGAAAAGTCATCACTGCTCACTTGTAACTATCAGTTGTTTGCTTACTTATTTCATCATCCACACGGCAAAACCAACTACCCCCTTGGCATTGATTAAACTCAATTGGATTCTTTTTGGTAGTGAAAATTGATGTTGACTGTAATCGCCACTTCTCTGTTTCCTTCTGGCCACTAGACATACAAAGCTTTTTTGCCAGCCATGATAGCACGCGACCATGGCCACCTTGTGTGTGTAGCCTGCCACGGAGGACTCTTTGCGATGAACGGCTTAGCAGGCAAGTCTGTGTTCTTCCCAAGTACTATCAGATTTCTGTAAAGATTGAGTCTGTTCCACCGTCTCCTCCAAAGCCAAGGTCCAATGTTGCTCACCTTCCCTGAAGTATCGACAGCTGTGCCTGATTATTCTGGTCTAGTAGTTTCCCCAGCGCAAGGATTTGTTTGACTTACTCTATGTCTGACCACTGGGCATCTCAGATCCCTGCTTTCCTCTGTGTGGTTTATTCTCCACTTGTTCCCTTGCTTGGTGACTGTGTGCCCAGATGCCCATATCAGTGCAAGTGTGTGTACCAGTTTTCCTGTATGCCTGCCTCACCCTTCACCTCCAGGATAGACCTTCCAGCTTCTTAATCTCTGCTTCATTTCCTGATTATAACTCTTGGCTCATGTTTTGGTTTCTTGTTTGCTCTGCATTTCAACTCCCAGTCCCAGGGGTATCTTGTTACACAAACAGCTATGCAACATCTGCACTGATTAATTTTTTACTTTCGCATCACCAATGACACTCTGTTTGCACCTTATAATTACAGATTATGCCTGATGTATGTTATGTGCTATATGTATATATATTTACTGTCTGTATCTTGATTCACAGCAGAATCACCCCAAAGTGCTTGACAAGGGTGTGTGGCAATCCATTACTACATCATTTACCCAGAATGGTACTTGAAACAGGGAAAAGGGAAGACAACAAACAGGGAGAAAAACAACCTCTGGGGGTCCAAGGTCAACTGACTGCCCAACTCCCCTGGCATGCAAACATTGTAGAAAACAGAAAAGAATGGGCCTAATTTGATAAAAGCGAAGTGCGGTCATGGTTAATGCCAGTTCTCTGTGCAGGTCTGTGTGAGTCAGCAGCTCACCTATGATGTCACAGTTCAGTAACCGTATCCGTGATGATTTGATACTGCATCCATAAGTGATTTGAACAAGAGATTTGTATCTAACGGCGCTTTTCCACTACCACCGAGAACCAAGCCAAACCCGAGAAAAACCACAAAAAGATGGTTTTCCAATGTAAATTATGTGAGCATTAGCGAACCTGTACCTGTGATGACACGGCTGAGCTGGTTTTGTCACCACCATCTGATTGGCCAAAATATATGGTGACGAGAAAGAACAGGTGATTGGTGTCGATATGCATGGATTACTAGTATCACACATCGTGATACATTGATGCATTCCTGATAACCTGGAACTTGAAAATTTCCAACATACTGTACTGCTTGAAAAACACAAGTTAATTCTAATTCCACTAGCGCTTGATGCTAACATAACATGGCAATTTTCAAAGACGTGCTACTGAAAATTAGCACATAGTAAATCATAATGCACACCGTGTGAATAGTAAACAAGCATCTCTTTGGTTTTACATTACCATCGCTCACCAAACCCAGTGATGCCTTTACTGAGCCGACCCTTCTGCAGTAGATAATCAAGGCAAGTTGTAACTGCGCTGTAACTAGTGTGGGTTGGTATGGGTTGTATATGGCCTAGTTCACTGTATGTTACTGGAAAAGTGCTACAAGGTGACGTCAAGGTTATGAGCTAAGCCGCAGAAGCTCAGACCCTCAGAGAGGAGCGCAGAGGTTATAGCATGCCTGTCCACACTAGCGTTTACCTCTGAACAGCAGAACCTCAGTTTTCTCTGCTTTGAGTGACAAAGCATTTTCACTTATCCAAGTGTTAACTTCGTTAAAGCAGTTAAAGTCACAAGAGATGAGGTGTCATTAGATGTAGCTGAAATGTATATTTGATAAACATTATGTTTTCTGATTATATTACCTAATGGCAGTATGTAGAGATCAATATAGGACCAAGCACTGATCCCTGTGGTACTCCAAATTTGACCGGTGACATTGACAATGTGTCTCCAACTGTGTCAGCAAAATTTTCCTCCAGCCTTGGTCTTGTGGCAATAAAGATTCTGATGTGCATTCTTAGCAACCTGACCCAGGATGAGGGTTGAGGGTTTTATATCCCTTTAGATACTCGTAAAGGGTTACAGGATCAAATCTTCCAGAAGTGTATCGTATTTTTACCTGGAATACCCATCCATTCATCTTCCCCCATGCCTATTCCAGGCAGCATTGGGCATAAGTGCAGGGAGTGACCCATCACAGAGCACATGCACACACAGTCATGGGCAATTTAGAAGCACCACCTTACATAAATGAATGTCTTTGTACTGTGGGAGGAGTATGCCCGCATAAGTACGTCTTATCTTAATTTGATATTTCTGTAACTTACACTTCCATTTTATGGACCTGATCATATTTACAATACTTTATGGGGACTACTCAAATGTGCCAGAATACGTGATGATGTTAAATGTAGCACTTTGCTCTTTGGCTTAACATTCATAACATATCGTTTATGTTCTGACTAGACAGTACCTCATGGTGGAGTCACCCCCATCTTTTTCACAGATTACTGTGCTAGCAAGTTTGCTGCCGTTGGCTTTGCTGAATCCATAGCTCTGGAGCTTCTTGTCCTTAAAAGGGAGGGAATTAAAACCACAATTGTCTGTCCTTACTTGATCAACACAACCATGTTTGGAGGATGCCAGACAAAGTAAGTCAGAAAGTACTACATATAACTAAATAACTAGATGAATGTATAATTAAGAAAGCACAAAATCATTGAAGGACAATTGTTTCTTTGTCCCCCATGCTTAGATGGCCATCATTCTTGCCAATAATAGACCAGAAGGATGCTGCAAAGAGGATTGTGGATGCTATTCTGTGTGAGCAGATGTTCTTACTGCTACCCTCCAGTCTGTATCTTCTGATGGCGCTGAAAAGGTGGCAAATGCATTACTACTCATGTGTGTTTTGGGACTGTTGTGTGACTCCACTTTTTGGTTCAGAACCAAAGTCTCCTGCACTAGACTTTTGTGTTTCTTGTGGTTCTTTGGGAAGGTCTGATTACTGGTTGGACCAGACTTATTGTGGATGCTCTGATGGGAAATCACAGAATGGGTATGAATGGCTATGGATGCTTTACATAGCACTTTGACTTAAGTTAAAAAATGTTCATGATATTTTCTCATGAGCACACCAAAAGTAGACCAGTAGTCCTTGGCTTATTCTGAATTTTATGTTTATTGCACATTATAACTGCTTGCAGGGTTAAAATTGTATTTTTAGGCATTCCACAAAACATTTATAAACAAAATAATTAATGCAAGGTCAGAAATGTATTTATAATCCATTGTATTGCTGAAACTTCTTTTATCAAGACGTGCATTTAAATGTGAGCAGGTCTTTGAAAATGGCATCATGGTGAGAGAAATTCAGCCCAGGTTCTTCAGTGTAGGACTTCGCAGGAAATTAATTTTCACCTTTATAAATGAATAGTTGAGCTCTGTACCCATCAGTCAACGACGCAACCGTAGTTCATCTTCAAAAAAATATGCAGCACTTCTGCAATAATTATTAATAATAATTAAGAAAGATCTTTAATACTTCACTATGATTTATTGGTCAGCAGCCTACTCAGTCAAAGACCGTGATATTTTAGCAAGCACATTTTGTCAGATCTGGCTGAAGCATCTATCTACTGCAGCCAGTAAATCAATGAACAGCAAGAAAGTGATATCATTTGCGGTTGGTATATAGACGGGCTCTTGCTGATGCGTACCTTTGTGGTGTTATTTTTGTGCTTTCAGTTTCATGCCAGCCAAGCTGGGCATCATCTTTGTCAACTTCTTCGGTGGGCTGGACCTGATGGACCGGTTCAGAGGCATCCCGGTGCCCACGGTGTCCTACAAGAGGCCACAGCGGCAGAGGGAAAACAGCGTGCTTGGGGAGACATAGAATACACTGCATGATCACAGCTAAACGGCAAATCAATTAAGGGTTTTGGATTATTGTCAGTACCATTTTGTGTTACTAGGATATAATTTAAAGGTTATTAAAGTAAACGCGAATATTATGAGGTAAGAAAACGATTTTTTGAAGTGCAATTTAACTGCTTGCTGGTGTGAGGTAGATGTACTGAAATGTAAAAAAAATGCTAAATTTCCAATAAAGATCATTAACTTTTTTCAGTAAAGTTAATTAATGTCATAATCTATAGTGTACTAATTTGAAATAAAAAATATAGGAATTTTAATATGAACCTACATAGGAAGGAGCGACTCATTGTCCTGGAGCCTGCAATTTGTCATATTGTAGCGCCGGGCGGACCGCGGCATCGCGAGCAGCGACAGACGAGGAGGGACTTGATAACACGTGCTATGCCGAAAAAGGCATCCCTGCCGTAGAATGCATGCCTGTCTCTAAATGACCGATTGGTCGCTGTTCTGAAACGAGTTGAGCTACTTTGTCGAATAAGGCTAGCGTAGTGCTAATCAATAGCCCCAAAAAACCCGTAAAACTCTAACCCTAACCCCCAAAAAACCTCTAAAACCCTAACCCCCAAAACCCCCCTAAACCCCTAACCCTAACCCCCAAAACACCACTAAAACCCTAACCCTAACCTCTAAAAAACCCATGACCCCAAAAAAACCCTTAAAATCTTAACTCGTCGGAACACCGGCATGCATTCTAGGCAGGGATGCCTTTTTCGGCAGGGATGCCTTTTTCGGCATAACACCGGAACAGAATGTGCTCTTTGTAGTCCTTTACAGGCTTGACACTAAGCAGACTGTGGCTGGAATAATGGAATGGCTTGATAAAAAAAATTCAAATCCATACATCATATTTATATTAATACAAACAGGTTTTAAAGAATCACGTGACGGTTGCTATAACCATAGATGCCTGACAACAATAAAAATTGCTTTTGAAAAGACTGCGCATTTCATGTGTTTACGTCTTCCTCTGCGTGCTGACGCCACACTACGCACCATTCACAGTCGCTGAAACTGTGACAACTTGCACTATGTGGCGGCAGTTTGGTAGTGTGGGTTAAGTGTGTTAAACATAAGGTTGAAATTCGGGACTTTTTGCATCTATCGGAGCAGGAAGGCTTAGTGTACCGGCACATATGAAATAGGCCTTTTTGAGAATTTATTTCATTCACGCGGATTGCGAGTTGGTTAGGCGGAGTATAAAATAATTCCGGCGGCGTGGTTTTCACGTGGGTTTGAAGCAACAAGAGCTGAGGGGATAAAGACAGATAAAGTAGCTAAAATTTCCCGGGCGAAGAAGTTTTTGTTGTGTGTAGGAAAGCCATCGTATTGCTTTTAGGGGGGATATAACTACACAGGTACGTAAAATGACTGTTCAAGTGGGATCTCTTATTTTAGAAGATGGAACTACCTTCAAAGGCCGCCTATTCGGGGCTGTCACTTCAGTGTCTGGTGAAGTCGGTAAGTAGCCTGTTTCATGCAGGTGACGTTGAATTTCCACGTCCGCTTTAAATGGGTCGTGAATACAAGATTTTTGGTTCGTGCCGATTCCGTTAACTAGTCGGCTGTAGGTCTTTCTGCGCAGTTACTGTTAGTGATTCGCTTCAGGGTTCCTATGCGTCCAAACATGACTAGATCAGCAGAAATGCTTTCATAATCTCTCTTTCTTACCATGAAAATTTAAAGTTCTTCGGCTGCTCCTAACAACGCGTCTCCTGTTCACTGTTTAATTAATGTGGTAACAGCCATAGATAGCTCCTCACTATTGACCTGAATGGAGGTCAGCAAGGTACAGGCTGTTTGAACTAATTTGCGTATTGCCAGTAATTCTAACTGCGCATAAGTCATGTGTACAGTGTATGATTTTTATTTGATTTACCTATTGCGATTCCTTCAACAAGAAGTAAGTTTAACGTCGTGCTATATAAAACCTTTTGCTTTACTTGTCCAAAGCATATGTAATATCTAATCTTCTAGTTAACCGTCTGGTGAGTCTTTAGAAAGTGGACCTTAAGAACTTGCAGATTGGGCTGTTTTTTTTTTCAGTTGTTTCTTTTGACATAACTGACAATCGCTGATAAGGGTCTGTGTCTTAAATGCAGATCCATTCTGCTGCTAATGGAGATGGGTATTCAAAGTGACGGCTTATTGGTTGTTTTTTATGTGGAAAAATCGATATTTCATTTTTGCAGCTCTGTTAAAAGTAACATAATAGTATTGTGGTAGTTGGCTGCATCGCAAATCTATTACTATCTTCTCTTTAGTATTCCAGACAGGTATGGTGGGCTATCCAGAAGCTCTCACCGATCCATCCTATAAGTCTCAGATCCTGACATTGACCTACCCCATGGTGGGTAACTATGGCATCCCCAGCAACGAAGACGGGGAGTATGGACTCAGCAAGGTGCGATGCATGAATGACACAAAGCTTAAAATACAGCTAGTTGCTAATATATGCTGAGACGTGTCCATCAATTTTATTGAATCTTGTTATCAGGGTACAAATTAAATTGCTCACCTCTTGTCTATCAGTTCTTCTTTTGGATAAGATAATTGTAGTGTCTTAATTTTTCACATGCACACAGTGGTTTGAGTCTACGAAGATCCATGCTGCTGCTCTTATTGTTGGAGAGATTTGCCAAAATCCAAGTCATTGGAGCTCCACAAAGTCTCTGGACCAGTGGCTGAAAGAGCAAGGAATTCCAGGACTTGAAGGTGCATCTCCCATGCTATTTTTAAGCAGGGATGGAGCAAGAAATTGAAACTATCAATGTTCTTTAAAATTGTGTCTGTGGTCCTTTCGGTGTGGTTTCATTCTGCGTTATTGAGATTGATGGTCATTATCTTGGAAACCTGTGTGAGACAGGTATTGACACAAGGTGCCTGACAAAGAAGATTCGAGAAAAGGGAACCATGCTGGGGAAGTTGGTGGTGGACGGTACCCCTGAGACCACTGTACCGTTTGACAACCCTAACCAGAGGAATATGGTGAAGGAGGTCTCAGTAAAGGTAAAGCTCCACCATAGATGGACAGCTCAGGTCCAGAAAGGAAAAATCCAAACCAAGATTTTGTTTCAACCAACCAGTTGAGTACTCAAGCTTGATGGAGCTCTGAGCTCCATCAAGGTACCCTCCACATGAAAAGATGTCTCTCAGTACTTAAAAATGAAGTAGTACTGAAGTAATACATGTATTCAGTCGCTGTCCAAACAGGACCAAAAAGCCTGTGGTATAGCAGGTGTTTTCCACTGATATCAACATGTTCCTGCCCGATAGGAACCCAGAGTCTTCAATCCCAGTGGGGTTGTGCGGATCACTGCGGTGGATTGTGGTATCAAGTACAACCAGATTCGCTGCCTGTGCCAGAGAGGGGCGCGTGTGACCATAGTTCCCTGGAATCAGCCATTGGACAGCGCAGGTCAGTGATGCCTAGAGGTTCTTAGCTTCTAGTGGTTGACACATGGACCACAAACTACACTGAGGCCGACAGGTGGTTTGGGATTCCAAACTGCCCATCTGAATTGTACTTTGTTCAAGACCGTTCTTTGTGAGTGAGCAGTTTACATGGGGGTATGGTGATGGGGCAGTGATTGTGCGGGGGGTGGGGGTATGTGTCATCTTTGTTTATAATCACATTTCCTCAATCACTGCAGACTTTGATGGGCTGTTTATCAGCAATGGGCCTGGTGATCCTCAGTTCTGCAAAGAAACTGTTGAGAACATCAAGAAGGTGTTGTGTGAAGAGAACCCTAAGCCTGTCTTTGGCATTTGCTTGGGCCATCAGCTACTCTCCCTGGCTATCGGGGCTAAGACCTACAAAATGAAGTAAGTTCTAGCGAAACAATGTGTTTTGTTTTTTTTGGGGGGGGTGGGGGGTTAATTGTTCATTCCCACCTTTTCATTTGTTCCCGACTTTGTGCCAAAAATAAAAAATCCACAGTGCCAGACTCACTCCTTTCTTAATTCCCATGGCTCCCAAGATCAAGACCCGTGTGAAATTCTGAATTGTTACCAAAGCTTTTTTTTTTTTTTTCCTTTCTTTAATCCCACTCTTGCGGTTCAACTGGTCTGTTTTCGTTAAGGCGCCCTGAGACCAAGGCTTTGTTAGCTTCTGCTCAAGGCCAGCCAGAATCCCGCCCTTCTTTCTCACCATCCCGTTGGTTGTGCAGCTGTTTTGGGTCCAAGGGTCACACGGTAGAAACTCCCATAAACACGGTCCTATAAAAAACGGCATTTCTGCTCAAGATCACATCCGATTTTACAGTATGTTGTTTGGTATTCGTTACATTTTGAGGCTCTGGTTCACGGGATGCAGTTGCTGGCAGGCGATGATGTCCTTGTGTGTCTGTGAGCATGACATCTGATCTTTTTCCAGGTACGGAAACCGTGGCCACAACCAGCCCTGTATCCACAAGGGAACGGGCCGCTGTTTCATTACCTCCCAGAACCACGGCTTTGCAGTGGACCCCCACACTCTCCCCTCGGACTGGGACGTGCTCTTCACCAATGCCAATGACCAGACAAGCGAAGGCATTGTGCACAACACCAAGCCCATGTTCAGGTGGGCCTGAGTGTGTTAACTCAGAGGGCTTGTCGAGTGCCTAAATGTTAATGATGAGGAATATGAGGATTTCTCTCCGTTATCCAATTAGTTTGACCCAGTGAGACCCACCACTAAAATAGCCAGTGGGATGTGGGTTAAATCAGTCTGATTGGCTGCGGGTGATACTGTCTGTCATAGGTTTCAGTCGTATAATTCACATCAGATTTTTTAGTCTCAAAAACACTTGAATAAATGCAGAGTAAATTGTACAGAATGAGAAAAAAACTTTCTAAATGATGAAATAATGTAACATAATGTGATTAAAATTCATTTGTTTCTATTTAGATAGGTGCTACAGAGGTTTAACGTGTAAACTTAAATGTTCCATGAAGTCTTGATGGGTTTTTTTTCCCCGTCTTTGTCCAGTGTCCAGTTCCACCCAGAACACATGGCAGGCCCCACGGATTTGGTCGGCCTCTTTGATGTGTTCCTGGCCCTGATCACCGACTTCAAACACGGCAACGTTGGGAAGCCAGGTCAGAGATTACGACACTTGAGTTGATGGCAGACCGATTTTAGTACTTCCAAGGCCAATAAAATGCCTCCACACTGCAATCTGTTAATGCTTTTTGAAGTGGGTTTCACGTTATGGGGATCTGAGGTATTAACAGTCAAGGTCAAATGTTTTGCACAGTGAAGGAAAGGCTGACTGAACAACTCACCTACACTGGAGCCCCCAAAATGGGTGACTTGGTGCGCCCCCGGAAAGTGCTGATCCTGGGCTCGGGTGGCTTATCCATTGGCCAGGCTGGGGAGTTTGACTATTCTGGCTCTCAGGTGAGCACACCCAAGCCACAGGCCGAGGGATCACTAGGTGTTCAAGGACCTGACTGAGGGCTGTGAAAGCAGCAAAGGCTTCACTTGTGGTGCAAGAACGCTGACAAATTGTCCCTCCCTCTTC